AACTGATAGCAGATATAATAAACGGTTTACTATCGGGTGATCCAAGATAAAAAATATGTTTAAATCGCTTTTCTAAAGCTTGAATCATTCCAACTACAAATGGATTAAAATATATTAAATGCGTAAATTTTGTTTTTGCTTAGTATAGTAATTGTAGGTGCTACCAAACCTAAAAATTTTATTTTTTCTCCTTGTAACATATCAAAACTTGTTGCTAAAGGAGACACCGTTACGGAAAAATACTATTAAGAATTAATAGTTACTATTGGTATTCCAGTAGTTACTACTGAGATTTCAGTAGTTATTACTGAGACTCCAGTAGTTATTACTGAGACTCCAGTAGTTACTATTGAGGCTCCAATAGTTACTATTATGACTCTAATAATTTGAACTTCGGAGAATCTGAAAATAATTATTATAATAACGCCAGATTCAAGGAAAAATTGATACATAAAGTAAATAAAAATCATTATTTGCATCATTATAAAATCACTGTCAGTTATGTTTTAATTATTTATTTATGAAATTAATTCCAAATTGGATCAAATGCGAATAATATTGCCCCATAAAACGTTAATTAGAATATATTTTTCGTTATAACATTTATCACCTTGATACCGTTTCCCTCATTCCATCATGCGTTGTGTATCTCATGATAACAAATGTTATAATGAAAAATATAATCTAATTAACGTTTTATGGTGCAATACTATCCGTGTTTGTAACTACTGACAACAGTAACTATTGACCAACAGTAACCATTGGCCAACAGTAACTATTGGCCAACAGTACTATTAGCCAAATTACTATTGGCCATTTTACTATTTATTAAAGGTTTTTTTCCGTAAGGGTATAATCATAATAAATTCTTCTATGAATTCAATTTCAGTTGGTTTCAATTTTTGGAGCTTTCTTATAATACTCTTGTACAATCTCAGATAGTTTGAAAAAGATAATATTTCTTTTATCTAAGTTAAGATAAAGATAATCTATATTCTTAATAATCTAGATAAAAATAAGATAAAGCCATTTCTTCATCTTATCTAGATAATTATCTAGATAATTTTATCGAGATAACGGAAAACACTGCACACAGATCTTGTACTAAAAGAGCTAAGCAGCAGCCCAAATAGCACAGTACATTATATGGACGTCCATTTTATGTCCACTTTACGCCGAATGTTCATGGACGTAAAATGAACGTCCATCGTACGTCCGATTTCGGACGTCCACAGGATGTCCCTTCTGCAGAGCCTCACATTATATTTACTTTAGCATATTTTTCACTGGGAGTAATTATTGTGCGCACTGAGTACATTACTTTAAAGCCATTGTACACTTATTTTGTCCGAGCGTAAAAGTAAAATGCAAATATTTTAAATTATAAAAAAAATATATATTTTACTTAGAATTTCAATTTAATCTGTTTTTACACTTATCTTAAACATACATTTTTACGTACGTCAATTTGTATATGTTACGACGGCTTTAACATGCACTCGATTATCAGTGCGTACTATATTATACAGGGTGAGGCAAAAGTATGGAAACCCCCGAATAAGTTTTGAGGAAGGCATTTTACAAAAAAATGTTAAATACAAAAGTTTTAGGAAATTTCTCTGGCTTTTCAATGGTGACCTAGGATTTGACCTTGA